GAGTCAGTCTCTCAGTTTGCGCTCCGTCAAAAAAACACCCTTAGAAACGCTGCTTGTCTTTCAATTCTCAACCTGTATTTCTATCAGAAAAGATTATTTCAAATATATTCTTATTTAAACAAAGTTTTACTTGTATTCTGACCCTGATGGCGCACTTCACCAAGTTGGTTTGCCTTCAAGTTCCATCAGAAAACATCCTTTGTAAATATAGCCTGTAACTCAATTATAAACCAGTAATTATATCCAAAATTATTTCTGTACGGGAAAAAGTAGTCACGTTTTAAACAAAAGTTTACTTATAATCTGACATTGGTGGCATACTTCAATAAGTCTGTTTTATTTCCATAAATATAGCCCGTTGATTCTAAACCTGTATAGTAATGCACATATATTTACAATTTTTCAAAAATATCTGTCTGGGAGGATCAACACTATAGCATCTGAAAACGCAAGCATTTATAAATTCTGCCTTTATTTCCATTTTTTTTTTTTAAAACAAATGTACCGCTAAAAACAACTATCACGCAGTCTCAATGATCTGTGCTGCTAAACACTATATGATACTATATATAATTGCATGCATTTATAGACTATGCATTTTATTTCTAGTTTTCAGACTAATCTGATAAGGTTCAAATGAAACCAGCACTGCAACATATAAATGCAAAATTCCAAGTGCTTTTTGGCAGTCATTTGTAACAAAGCTTTCTATTGGTCAGTAAACTTTTAATCGCACAACCACATGACATACCCAGTTATGAATGGGGTCACCGCTCGGGGTTTGAGAGGAGTAATGTACAATCGGAAGATCGTGCAGGCAAACAATGCTCTGTGCTGCCGCTACCAATATATATTACCGAATTTAAGACATACACAATTGACAACATTATTTTATAAAAGAGATAACATCGTTCATTTATTGCCAACCTCCCAACAACATTCTAGAAATGCACTTTTTTTTCACAATCAAATAACTCATCTTTGCACCTGCTAAACAGTTACGTCTTTCAATGAAAAGTAATTTGACAGGATGTTCATTGATATCATGCAAAATACCAGAAATACTGAAAGAATCCAACAGTTTTTTGTTTACAGTGCTACCATAACATATACGTTATACATTTATATACAAAGCGTGAAATTCTAACGAGAGAAAATTTGAAAAAAAAACGTACATTTTATGATCAGTAAATTCACTATTATGAATGTGAATTTTTAGAATTTTAAATAGGAAGGAAGACCGATTTCATGAAGGTTTATGCAAAAAGCCATTATCCTTTGCAGGTCGTTGTATCTGTACTAAATATTGTTAGCAATCCATAAATATGATAATGCCAGATGTACTGCAAAATGTTGAGATTACATAAATTCATGAATACAGTCCAGGGAAATGTACTGTATTTGCTCTATTAGGTGTGCACACATTTTCGTAAATGACAGGTGTGTCTATGGTTAAAAGTCAAATTTCAATAATACAGTATACAATACATACAATTACTGGTTTACATACACTTCTAATAGAAGAAATGCAGCAACTTGAACTAAATTCCCAATATTTGAGTGAGAATAGCAGAAGTTTTATCAAAATACCACAAAACTAAGCTTTCACACAATGAGTTCTCAATAATAAATTTTCCTCTCGGCTCCATAAATCTACTGGCATAGTTAAACAAGACATTACTACATACAAGAAACAAGCAATCATGTCCAGAGAAGGGGCATTATAGTTACCGATACCACACACACTTCCAAAATACACTGTCTTCAACGTGTGTAAGTCAATACACTGATTGTATTACTACAGAAAACCTAATTTGTTGCATGTAGATTTTGCTAGATATATACAAAACATAAATATGCAATTTAGAAGCTTTCAAACAAACTGAAAACGGGGGAGGCCATCAATTCTACCCATTATCGCTAATTTTGGCAATCTACCATAAGAATTACACACTGCACGGTAATCAAATTTTCTTACAGACGGCAAATTGAATTTCACAAGTTCTAAAATGGAAACTTCAATCGAAATATTTGAATTCAAACAAACAAAATGCTTAATAAATACACCTATTTTTTTTCTTCTAAAAACGCTTCATTTATTGATATCCCAGTAAAGAAATCAGATTGTTATTTTGTTTTCTAAGTTAAAACAATTGTAATACACGCTGTTCTCAGATGCTGCAGGTAACTGAGATAAACCAGACAAAAAGCTTTAAATAAAATAAATTAACACCAACGTTCAAATCAGAGCAACATACTTACAATTGTTTTATCATGACACTGAGCAATATGGGGCAATAGCCATGCATGCCAAATATTGCTGACAAGTTTAAACCAAACGATGGGAATTTAAAGTATACAAAAGATAAATTCATTCTGTAATATTAGTGAATACCATTCTGAATCTGAAAATCTTTGAGGTTACTCTGGAATATTTATTACTATTAATCTATTAGAAATGATTTCCTGGTGTTTCAAGCAATCTAGGATCCTTGATTAGTCAATGTAATCATGTACAAGTTTTATTGTAAAACACTGCAAGTGCTCGAGTAGAGCAGCAACTTTGCAAACGGGGGGAAATTATTAACATGTATAATCATCATTTTGTTTTAGAATAGATTTGCATTGTTTAAGTTTGGTATTATTGGTTGTTCTTTTTTAAGCAAAGAATTGTTACGAGTGTGGCAGTAGCTTTGAATCAACTACATGATATGAAACTCATTATTAATGAATAAAAAGCATGTACACTGGAATATATGTACATAATATATGACTTATTACAAAACTTGACAGATATATGGTTAATTTAGATTTACTAGCTTTCTTGAAACGAGTATGGAACATCAAATACATGCTGCTAGTGTCCATTCTACATTTGTAACTTGATTCCGTCAATGTGGCCACATTTATTTCCTCAACCAAAAATCAGGGGAGGGTCTGTAACAATACAAAAAACATTGTACACGACCAACGAATTTTTTCTGAATCGACACAAAACTGTTCCACGGATGTATATGTTTACATGCGGTTGCCGCTTGGAGCGGTTCCCCCACTCATTGCACCGCTTACAGCACCCTTCATGGCACTCGTCGTGGCAGTCTGTACAGCTTGGTTTGTAGCTACGTTACTGGCAAATTCTTGTTGAGCCTTAGCAAAACTGGCACCAGTTGTACGATACATACTGTGTACCTGCAGTGAACACAAACAATTATAGTTCAGAGTCTAAATGAAAACGAGCATGCCTCTCTTTTCTTCAAATATTCCAATTAAACATAAAATCTGAGGTGAATCTAATCTTACTTTCAATGGTTTTTGTTTGATCCAACATACAAAACTATTTGTTATTATAAAAAAAAACACATTTTAATGTATTCTAAAAACTCAAGATTACATCATGGGATTGTAAAATCACTTCTGAAGAGAGCGTGGTGGTTGGAATAGAGAGTAAACAAAACGAAATGAAATTCACATACACATCTCATACAGTTCCTTGCAAACAGATTGATTTCCAAACATAATTGAATTTTTTTTAAAACAAAACAAATCCAAGACAAAAAATAGCACAGCTTATAACAGAACATTCAAACCTAGCATAATATTTTACATACATATACACAGTGCATAAACAATGTTTCATACTGGTGTTACAAAAAATAATGTTGTGGTTTGTATAAAGGTAAAAAGAGTGTGAAGAAAGCAAAGAATTGAAAAATAAGCACAGGCGAGGAAGGTAACAAAACAAAAAGACAGATAAAAGACAGAAGCAGGCAAGCAGCATTTGAAGAAATGGTACAAATCTGATGTCTTGTTAATCATAGGTCCAAATTGATTAGTTTTGGAATGAACAATAAACTCCAGAGTGCTTATAGCAGGACAACAGAATAAAAAGCAATATATTATTTGTGGCATACAAATAAATTACCAGAAACTACTACAGTGAGTGAGGACACAATAAATATATTATTTTACAGAAGCAATGTAGATAACTTTTAAAAAAAAACGGCTTGATTGAAAACATGGAATGATTTATCAATGAGAATGTTATGATGTAAGGCTTTGTATTCCCCTTACAAATAGGTAAATACAGCACATACTAATGCTCTTCAAATAAAAATGTTATTCTTTGATAAATCATATACTGTTGACACCAAGTACTTATTATTTTAAATACTTAATATTATCCATATTGCTTCTAAATAGGAAAGTGCAATGCCATGCAAATTATATAAAGTCTTACAAGCTGTTATTATCAGTACTAAGTTATGTTAAAACAGGACATGCAAGAAACTTTATTGCATTATACGATATGAAAGTATATTAATGAAAAATATTTGTTATCCTTAGTTAGGCAAATCATAATAGAATAGCCATGTGACGAGTGAAGATTCTTAAAGAAATTCCAGTATTGCCACAAATTAGTGTTAATATACATCTATTTTTACACAGCGCAAACTAGTATGTTCACAAATACTAAATTGCAGCCGATTCCTTAATAGCGGGAGTATAGCACATCAGGACAGGCAATTAACTGTCCCTGCAAACAAGGTTAATATCCCAACCTTCCCAATAGCCAGGCAGAGGAGGTGATTGTAGAATATTTTATTATGCAGAACGAATATTTTGACTACCGGCAGTTTTCACGTTTCTGCTTTATATGTGCTTCCAGTACACGCAGCCAGAATAAAATATTCTACATTTTCAAAATAAGTCAAAATCTTTCAACACTAATGTTACATATTAGTGCCAATTCATAACATGCTATTGTGTCAAAGGGTTTGTATAACTTTCTATAAATAACTTCATATCAATGTTGCATTCATTGTATTTATTCTATTCAAAGTGAATCTATAGAGCACACATAAACCAACAAATTGTATTCCAGAATTAAGTTTAGACTTATTTTGACCAGACACACCTCAGTCACTTACTCAAGCATATGTGCTACCATTATAGAAAATAGAGCATTATCGATTGTTGGTGGCAGAAAGTGTAATAACTCGCGTTAACTATTGTATACATTAAAATATTAAATTTGTGCTACAAAGAAAAGTAGTACAAAGTTAATTCTATTAGTAGCGGATGCACTTATGTGAATGACAGAGGTGTGTCTATTGTCAAAATAAGTCTCATTTAAATAATTCAGTACACAACAAAAGCAATTTTGTTGTTGATGTGCGCTTCTATTGGAACAAATATGGTACTAGGCTCAATACATACTGAATGTAATTCAAACTGCTTTGGAACATTACAATTCAGAATACAGATAACAGCAGAGAAACTGGTTCCCTGAAACTGTATGCAAAACCTGATGCTAAAACACAAAATGTCATATTCTGATTGGCTGAATGAAATCACATGATATTCCAGCATTGCCCCTTGGGTAATTATCAATTGAAAAAAGTTGCGTACAAGTTACAAGTACATGTCCTGACAAAAAAGCACTCTGGAATTACTGTTTGTAAACAATATAATAATAAGAAAGAAATTCATACCCTTTTAAGTAAGAAGGCTGCAAGACAGGCATGTGCACAGAATCCCAATGTTACTATGATCATGAGTAATCCTACCCCTAGGTTCTTCTCAACAACACCCAGAGAGATGACCCAACCACTGAACAATGGATGGATAGATGGATGGACAAATGCAACAAAAAATGCCAAGTCAGTAAAATTACTATAAACGAGCAAGGTATATGGGATGTGGAGTTTGTATGTGGTACTGATGGGTATGCAGTTTGTATGTAATGTTTGATTGAAAAAAAAGTATCCAACTCATGTTCAACAGCAGCAAAAATGAAAACTGCGACTTGTTTTTTTTAATTTTACACTCTGGGAATTTTAGTATTTTTTTTTCAGTTTTTCGCCAATGTGCAATGTTTTAATCAGAATCAAAAAGAAAAATGAAGCCTGTTAGTGTAATTGAGATCAAACGCTGACAAGGAGAGAAAGAGTTGGTAATACTGCTTTTGAATCAAACACTAAGATATTACACACATGTGGATGTATTTGTGTGAGTGAGTGTTTCAGTACCTTCTTTAATAATATGGCACCTATAATAGCCAGCCCTGTAAATAATACACCGACGAACATAACAATAACACCAACGACAATCTGGCCCACGTCATCTTCTTCACCACTTGTGCCCTCTCCTATCAAATCAAAGGCTAGAATCCAGCCACTGTGAATCAAGTTAAGGTTAGCAAATTAAAATTCAACACACAACAGATCATTTACAAGACCCATAAAGGTTTTAAGATTCAAATGACAACCCTAAGTAATGCATATTTTGTTAAGCATCTAATTTCTTTGATTCTCCAAATCACTGAATATAACAATCCTTCAGGAGTCGTGTAAATGAATTAATGGAAATTAAGAGAAATTGTGATAGAACACAACTCCATTTGAGAAATTTTCAACAAATTTAAACTTGTTATTTTTTAACTCTATACTTTATCAGCATGCAATATATTATATCTAGAGTTCTGGAACTTTGCATGCTATATAACCACTTAAAGCAACTAAACATCCAACAAGATAAATTTTAAACCAGATTTGCTTATCTAATAAAAAAAATCTATAAACCAAAACACCTTTGTAAAACTATATCACCATGTTCAGGTCTTGCACTGTATGATGCCCCACTTTTCAAATTGGTTTAAATCAAGAGTTTTCTCAAATGAATTACTGTTCCAACACAGTTCTTAGAAGAAATTAAAAGTCAAGTTGATTAAGCCCAACTTACACAGTGATTCTTATGCATGAGCTGTGAGACATTTGTAATATATTTAAAATGGATTCCATTTATGCAAGTTGTTGATCAACAAATTTGCATTTAACAAAGCAGCAACCTCAAGTCAGTGTAAAACCACTTTAATTATTAGCTAATACATATATTTTATGTCAATAATTGTCAATGAATTTCTTGAAACAAAATATTTTACACATGGTTTATTATATGGGATCTACACTGAACAAGATGTGACGCAACAATGTACCATGACAGTAAACACTAAGTTGGGCTGGGGAAACAATTGGTCACAGCTGATGCAAAAGACAGAAGAACAAAGAAAAAGTTTTGAAGAGACAGAATTTAAATAGATTGGTGTGGTTTAAATATAGAACCACTGCATGCACCGAAATACTAAACAATTTGCCTTACCATGTGCCCCAGCCAGGAATGCCTATTGCCTGCAGTACATTCACACAAATTTGAAAAAAAAATATGAAGAAGAACAGAAAAAAGTTGAACGAACTATCGCTCCTGCAATGAAAAAAAGATATGCATATACCAGGGTCAGTAATAGTGAACATAAATATCTTACCACGCCCCTGTACCTTGTATACCAATGGCGAAGAAGACAAAGGTACAGATTTGACAGAAAAATATGAAAAAGTAGATGAAAAAGTTGAACGAGCTGTCACTCCTGAGAGAAAAAAAAACATTATTAATAATAACTATCACATGATTTAAATTTCATTTCATAGTTTGGATGATTAATTGAGAAAACTCCAGTGTGATTACAAAAATAGTTAAAAAAAAATGTTTTTTGTTTTACCGGTAGTTTGATTTGGTCAGTGAAAATAATATGCAAAATAGGCCGCCTATTTAACATTTTAGCCTGTAGAGGGCACAGTTTAGAATACCATGAAGATGCATGCTTTATAATGTAAAAATAGCTCCACAGCATTAAATTTTCCACATTACATATTTCTAACAAAGTATAGTTTCTAAAATGAGCATGGATAAACAAAATACCTCGAAGTACCAAAATGCCCTGACATACCAGGTACTAATGTACATGATATAGTACTGTGAAATACTTTATTTCAGCTGGAATTAATTTCCGCTGAAAAGACTTTTTGGGTGTTTTGTATGGAATTTATTTTTACTGATTTTTGACGAGTTGAATGTAAAATATGAGAAAAAAGAAACATTCGCTGGATTTTATATATATATATATATATATATATATCTGCTCTACAAACTCATCGAGCACTCTCACCTGGAATAATCGACTACCTTCCTATATATATATATATACATATATTAAGTTTATACAAGTAGACTCTGTTTGTGCTAGCTGGCTAGAGCCTAAATAATGTGTTCATACATGCATTTGAGTTATTGACCACTCAGATTAGAGTTAGCCTCTAGGAGCTAAGCAGACTGAGTTTGATACAGTGAATTTAATGAAGGCATGTTTTTATTTAAATATTTTATCAATTTCAAGCAAATTGACCAATCACTAAACATTTACAGATGCATGCAGTAAATTGGCCAATAATTAAAATAAACATGCAAAGATTCATGGGTAATAGGCATTACAAAATGGCTTCCATAGCCAAGGAAAGAGTATTCTCTGGATTGGAATGTAACATGAGGGTCTACACCATGCTAAACATTTGATACATTTCCATAAAAAATATTTACGCCTTTATGAAATTTATTATATGAATCATAAAGTAAATACAGTGACTATGATTAGAGTACCTGAATGCTTTGTAGACTGGTCTGTACCAACAGACAAAAGCACACGGACTGAAGAGGAGTAGATATACTATGGATAAACCAAACGTAATACCACACTCGCTTCCACCTACACAAAAACAGGCCAATGCTCCTAAGAAGTTCAAAAACAATACACACACATAGACTGGAAAAAAAAGAAACAGATATTGCATCAGTGACAAGTTGATTGTAGTGACATATGTTAAATGTCATCAGTGAGTTACTTATTAGATATTATAAATCACCACTATCAGAATTAGAGTTTATATGACGTCATAGTTTTACATCATCATAGAATAATGTTAACCTTCATTTGCCAGTGAAATTATTTCAACAAAATACAAACTTTTATAACAAAAATAATTAATCCCTTACTGCGTCATACATTTTATAGGATTCATAAAATGATTTACACGTGACAATGTGTTGTGTTGGGTCTTGCCACAGACACTTCTCATCCAATATGGCACTGAAAAGGATTCATTATTGTTTAAACAAATAATTAGATATTAATAAAGTGATCATAAAACTTACACATCCATAAATAGTAACACATTTTAACTGTTCTCTGGAATTCCAGTGGAATATCCACTGCGAAATCTTGATAAAAACAAGGGCCTACAGGAAACATCGCGGGTAGAGGTGGCCAGTTGTTAGCTCGAGCTAGGAGGAAAAAACAAAACAAGTGATAATAAGTACGTTTGTAAACCTGATTAATCACAAATATAAGCAATTTCTCAATATCAATCAGAAATGGGACAAATGAGAGGGTCAATAGAGAGAACACAATAACATTTCTAGAATTTTGTGTACCCTACTAACTTGAATTAATGAAGACACTCACGATTATAATTTAGATTTTTCATTTCATTTTCCCTCCTCTGTAGTTCAGCTGCTTTTCTTTCTAGTTCTTCTTGTCTTCTTAGTAAGTCTTCTTGAGCTGGAGGTGGCTGTGATATAAACCACAAGGGATTGTAAATACAGTTTACTAACTATCAATTGCGGAAAGACAGTCTGAAAATTGATCAAGTACCTATGTACTGTGATTAAATTCACAAGGACTGACAATGCGCTAGTGGGAATGGTCGATTCGTCTGTTAACCATGCAAACACATTCAGCTGTCGCATACTATGAACCAAGAAGGTTGGGAATCCTTCATTGTAATGTAGCCCTCTGGTGATTGAGAATGCCCAAAATGATTGTGTTTTTAATCAGAAAATTGATTTCAATATGACAGTGTGCATTCAGTGTCTATCATTTATGCACTGTAGGCATCTTGCAGACATCAGAACATGCACATATTCTTGGCTAGATTTTGAATGATGTCACGGGATACATAATGTAAAATCTACTAAGTACATTAGAAGTCGCAGCTTTCAGTAAATGGTTAATTGAAAATTAATGCAGGGCATAGAATTTATTGCCTTCATATAAATGTCATGTTCTTCAACCATTTTTCAATGTTGATGTATATGTTAAACTTAGTGATTCTCAGTTCTATTTTCTTGAGTTTTATGAAGGATATCATAATCAAGGAATCTGCTTCAAATAAACAATCAGTCCAATTGATGTATTTTACGCTACTCAGTAGCAATGTTTGACTGTTTAACCTACCAGAGGCCATTATACGAATAATTTATATTACAGATATCAGATTTATGAGACTATTGGAAAGAAATTGCCAAGGGAATAATGCTTCAATCAAGAACTAAGTTGAAATTTATTTAGTGTTCTACAAGCTAGGAATGGTCTACAAAAAGTTTTTTCAATATGCTCAAGTACTACAGACACATTTTGTTAAGCAAGGTTGCAATTATGATTAAAACATTACACTTGAATGAGGGCATTATGTGACCAGTTTTACTGAACAAATGTGATTCATCTTCATTCCATATAATAAGCTGATAGTTTATTTTAAAATTGATAAACATGTATAACAGTGCTTTATGGATGTGTTTCCTTGTTTAGAATAGACAGTTTCATCTCATTCCCCAAGAATATAAATAAATAATTATTTAAAATCTGGATAGATTGTCCTGTTGTGTACATCATATATTGATACACAAAGAGTTTCAAACAAGGCACAATTATTTTATTTTGACAAACAAAGTAACATCAACATAGGCAGTGATACATGTATATGTATGTCAATATTTCTTTCTGAGTAGGTGTGAAAGTTAATCTTGATTGTTCATGGGATACCACAATATTCCCAGGACACCATTTAATAATAATAGATTGAGATGTACAAATATTATAATTTTCCAATGTTTCCGATATATATTTTCTTAATTATCACAGAACACTTTTTGAAACATTGTACTGTTAACTTCCCAATGAAAGGTATATTGACAAGAACAAAAGTTGGTGGTACCCTCTAAACAGGCAGCTGAGTTAGAGACTATAGTTACCTGTGCAGGTGATGGTGTGTAGGCTGGAGGTTCCTCAGTAGGCCTCATGACAGCAGGTGATGGATCAGGCCTTCTTGGAGGAGGTACAACTGGCGTCGTTTTAACACCCTGGACAGTATACAATACACATATTTAATTGAAAAAAATGCAGTGAAACTTGAATTTAAAAAAAAAAAATAAGCTAACAAATTTCAGAAGTCCCTTATTAATATACAAATAGATATTTTCATATCGACTAGTAAGGTAGCAATCAGGTTGATACAGCTAGTAAATGTGATAGATAGTCTTAATGTTGTAAAAGTGAAACAGTATTTATTATAATTGACTGAATTTGAAAAAAGATATTATGAAACAAGTTGCTTTAATGCTGTACTGCAATACATAAACAAATACAAATTTTCTAATTCAATCAATATATGCAAATAGAAGGGTAATGTAATTAAATGTGAATAGTACTACCACAGACCTATTTTCTATGGTCTATGGTTCTACTAAAAGATCAAATTAGAGATAATAGTGTTGCTTCCCAAATGCTCCTTACACAAGTAAATATCTTTAAAGGGGCACCCCTTCCAGTTAAGCCTAATCCCACAACAAATTTACTTTCTGGATTAAAATAACAATGGATAAAAAAGATAGATTAACATTGTAAACAACGTAAACAATACTGTCCCATGATTCTTTGGTGCAGTCCATGGGATTGAGCGGTTCCCCTTTAAGCATTCTTCAAATGAATTGTGTGCTTAATGTTACATTGGTCGTAAAATATAAAGTATATGGCATCCAGTAAGCGCATAAGAACTTGTTACTAAGATTTATGAAATGAGAGGAACAAAAGCAGGAATAAAGCCATGTTCAAATAAACTCAAATAAAAACAAAACATACTGATGTCGGGTGGGTAGGTGGTGGCGGAATAGGTTTCTCTGCAAATGGATTAAATTCCTCTAGACCTCGTTGGCCAGTAGTGGCTTGTTGAACAGAGGGGTCCTGTAAAAACAAACCACAATGACTTACAAAACACATCACAGGGTTACAGTACAAGGTATGTAAAAGGAAACAGCTAAAGTGATAAACATGCATTCAATTAAATAAAAATAAGTTGTAAACAGCGATGTTTTATATTATTTTATATAAGCAGGGATAGAAATCAACCCTTTGACACCATAACTTCCACCTCTGAAATTATGGTATAACATTTTGCCTGTTTTATGTATTTTTCAATTTTTGTGTGGATAATTTTGGTCCAAATGAGCAGAATTTCCTATTGGCTACAAGTCGAGTAGAGAGAGTAGATTACGGATTCATTTTGTGAATGGTGACAACAGTGGCACTCGAAAGGTTAAAGCCTATCCCATCAATCCTGACAAGTAGTTGCAGAAACTACCTGCCCTGGTGGGTAAATAAAGTGTTTATAAAGTCAAGAAAGTCAGTCATGTCTGGCTGAATTCATATTTTCATAACATTTCTATGCAACTATGCAATTTAAAAAAAAAAGAATGAAGTATCAAATTCAGTAAACAAATTATTAATACATATTGTTTGATACCGGTACTTTGATTTTTTAAATGAACGATGGATAGGCATTCATTATTTTTCTTTTCATACCCTGGTATGAAAGAGGAATGTAGAAACACCATATGTTACACAGTATACAGTACCACACCTACATGTATGACAGGTCAACAAACTTTATAGGTATTATAAGCAATACCTCATTCACTCTATTAGTAGCACATTATGTAAATGACAAGTCATCTACGGTCATAATAAGTCATATTGTAATGATCTAGCATACAATACAAGCAATATTTGGTGGATGTGCACTATTCTATTGGAGATGCGCTTTAATAGAGCAAATATGTTTAGTACATTTTGTTTAAACAAGTGGTCTCCCCAGATAATTCTATACATCATAGCTTGATTTGGGATTTTTTTGCAACACATAATAAATTACAACCTCTGTCAAATTACCCTTGCTGGCTGAAAAGAACATGTATTGATAAGAATCAGCACTAATATAATTAACTATAGCCTAGCCGAACAAGCGTGAAGGGAAGGGTAGCATTCCCCCATATATTCAGAGTCTTGTAGTAAATATTACCGGTAAAGTACCATACTACATGTACCAATATATAAAGTTTTAAAAAGCATCTAATATTTGAAAAACACTGCATAATATTTGATATTATGCCAATAGTGCAATGGATTTATATTCTCAGTGGAGGCAGAACATAATTTTGAATTCAAAATCATGTATTTAAATTGGTCAGAAAACAAACACAGCATGGCAATAAAACATTTTTTTTTTCTTATCCTGCCGTTCAAAAAATTCAGTATGTGCATTGTACAGGAAAAGGGAGGGTATGTACAGGACATATACTTTCCATACAAACAATGTTGTGCCTGTCTACAAAGAACTTTTACTATGCCAAGGTTAGAGAGCTTCTTGTGAGAATACAATAGAACCCTTCATAGCTGAGAAACCCAGTGAAACAAGGGCAGTAAATCTACACTATCTGTGTAGTTGCATGCTGCACCCTTTATTCAGCTTAAATACTCCCAAAGATATTGTATGCAACATTGACTAATTTTTAACTAGTACATGTATATTAAAATAATAATTAAAATTTCCCACAGTGAGTTTAAAATTCCCTGCAGTCTTGAAGACTGTAATACTAGTAGTCCTCTGGTAATTTGGGTAGTACCGGTAAATCGGGATTTGCTGAGACAAGAAGCCACAAAAGAATGAACAGACATATTAAATAAATGTTGTGTTTTAAAGACAAATATAGAAAACAAAGCATACATTTTGCTAACTATCTATGTAATCCATTCAGGCTCATACTAAGTTTAGGAAATAAAAGCTATATAAGCCTAAAGACAAAAAGACCAGTAGAATGTGTGCTTAGATCTGCTAACCAAAGCCCTGGTTTTAAAAGTGCATCCTCCAAAATAAACATGTCATTTTTATTTGATAGTGAAGTTTTTTATATTATACATGTAATCACATGAAACATAACCCAAACCATAAAATAATTATATAATGACAACAAACAATGTGCTACATTTACTTCTACAAAATAATGGCCTTATTTTAACCTAACTACTTGTGGTTTATCATGGTATCAGATGACTCAGAGGTGTCTGATACTGGAGTGTCAACCTGTGACCGATGGAATTTTTCAAAGTTAGGATATTGTTGTTGGCAAACAAACAGTAGTTGGCTACAGGAAATAAAGAAATGGCCAAGAAAAAGAAATTGTTTTAACTTCAGTTCCAATTATACCTACAAATTACACTCTGGAGTTTGGAACAACCTTTTAAGCAAAAAAATTGTTAATAGTTCTTGATTAATTAAAAAAGACATCACGGCGCAATAATATGAATATGTAACGGAACTCTCATGAGTAAGGAAGGCCGCATTGGAATATCCTCGAATTAACAAATCTACGATTTTTAAATCTACTTAACTCCCATAACAACAAACAAATAGATCGGCCATGGAAATATCACCACAACCATGGAACTAAAAATCTGTTTTTAGCGTCATGTTCACTAAAATGTGACAGGAAGTAAGACGATGAAAAATATTAGGTGAAGTGTGTTATTATAATTAATAATATAATTCCCTTAAAACGAGGAAACAGTGTGATCACAAGCTGATATAAATTTGCACAAAATACCTTACACAAAGAAGAAAATATTTCGATATATTTAAAAAAAACTAATCATTTTTTCATAAGTAATAGTAAATCTGTGACATTCATATCAAAGCCTTATCTGCCACGGTGTTGTTTTTTCGATGGGAGATCCCTACCTGCCACGGGTTAGCCGCCGCTTCAGGGTCAGCAAACGGGTTGTTATCGTACTCAGACATGTTCACCCTTTTCTGTTCCAAGAGTTCCCGTCTTCGTCTATACGTCTGACGTCAAATTATCGCCAACCTTAAATGAAAATTCCAAATGTCGTAGAAATTTGTCTTCGCACAAGAGAACCCGACTAGCAAAATGGCGGAGTCGGATAGTATGCGCATGCGCTAATTGATCATATGACAAAAGTGAGTTGACGTCACCACCTTTCGCCGGTGAGGCTTCTCGCGTTCTCTCCAAAACAGAGGGGTACAACTCTGCATATTATGTGATTATTTTAATAAAAACATTAAAATAAAACGTACTTCTAAAGCATTAAAGAAAAATATAGCGATCTTTGATGCGATATGGTGAATACGAGTCCTCCGACGTGGCCTAATTAACATTAAAATTACTGGTCACATGACCGTCCGGTGGTCTCCGCCATCTTGGATGTGTAAAGTGGTGGAGACGAACGAAGTGTTGCCGTATTTTAGTATTTTTTGAGTATTTGTCTGATTGCTGATTAGATTCTTCATTCACCATGGCTCACAACAGTACCGAGCATCGATCGTATGCGAACGAGCGACCCGCGTCGTTGTCAGGGTCTGGCGAGACGACAGACATCGCTACGGATCCTGCCAGTGGAGGAATATTTGCAGCTGATTATAAAAAGTAAGCCATGCCATCGAAAGGACATTTACTTCCGCAATGTAAAAATTTTGATTATTTGCCGAAACTAACATTATTATTCATTTTTTTTTGTCACTCAGACATGAAGATTTAAAGCAAATGCTTGATAGTAACAAGGATAATCTTAAGCTGGAAGCGATGAAAAGAATCATTGGGGTGAGTAAGGTGGAGTTGACGAAAAAGCGAGCCACCACAGTTCGCTTTTAAAGATGTTTACGTACAAGTATTGTTCAATTGCAATAATACAAAATATCGATGCCCTCACGTTATTAAAAAAATAACATGTTTGTAATTTGTCGTCAATGAAATCAACCTGATAATGTATTACAGAGTGACAAAAATTGAACTGTTTAAATGAATGAATGAATGAACAGAAAAACTGGATACAAATATAAAATTAATAATTATAAAAATAATCATACTTTTGTTGCTAAATTGTCCATCTACTGGTATCATAAATTTATCTGTGTAGTCTCAAGTTCAGTATGAATGATATTATAAAAAGAATACAGTCAAACTTGGTCAGATTCTAACTGCCAGAAAAAAAATAGTCAAAGTCGGCCAGTTGTAATTGCCAAAGTGCTGAGCAGTCAATGGTCAACAATTATCACCTTCTTTCATGTCTGTTTCGTGTGTTAATTTGTGACATGACAGTCTGTTCCTTTTTAGAAATCAAAATGAAAAACACTCTGTAATTTATTAGACATTGACAAAGTGCTCACTAGTGCATCAATGAAATTGACAACCTTTGCCACCTGTGCATTGTCCAGTATTTTATTTTTGACCGTGAGATGACTCAGGCAGTCTAACTTTGTTAGAAAATGACAGTACCCATTAACACCTATTCACAAACTTGTTACTACATAACCTGGCCGATTTTGGCCACTGGAGTTTGGGGTTACCTATAATAACCAGGGTTCTCCCCAGAAAAAATGCATAGCGCCGGGGCTAATTTGCATAATAATTTGCATATCATTTACATATCTTTCCTTCATTGATTAACAGAACTTATTTACAATTATGAATATTAGTGAGCTCAGTCACAGGGCAAATATTTTTTTTAATGGAATCAACACATTATGTTTCACAATTTAGAAGAGTTTGAAACATTCTCGAAATACAAATGCTGCAGACTAAAAACAAACACAAATATAGCTGCATAGCAGCGATGACGGGTTTCGAGCCTGCGTGGCTCATGACAAATTGCACTTGCTCGATGTGATTATTTGACGAACGTTTCATGTCTAGAATGCAAGATAGCAGACAAACTACACAACATATGGATTTGATTTCACAGGAATATGATAAACTTAATGCAAGGACAAATAGTTCATGAGTTATAGAACTTTTTCTCTTTTACTAAATCCAAGATGGCTGCCAAAGGAAGCCATTTTTAAAAATCTACTTCAGTAACTTTGTAGAGCTATCAACAGAGATACTATATGCTAAATTGCTTTTCAAACAAGCAAGCAGTTTTTAACAAGATATTTTTTTGAGGTTTTTTGAATTTTTGTGATAAATTCAAC